AAAAAAAAAAAAAAAGGAGTATCAGAAGGCAAAACCAACAGGCGAGAGAAATATTTTTGAAAACAAATCAATTAATAAGCCCTCATTTGGTCCTTCAGGATTTGCTATAACTAGTCTACTACTTCACATAAAGGGTTACTTAAATAAGACACTTAAAATTTTCCATCTTCCGTTCCACAGAAAAGAAGGTCATTAATTAACTGGAATTAAGAAAATATACATATTTAAAATTTATGGCCCCTGACAACTCACATAATCAATCAGAAAAAGAAAGAATGGAAAGAAACCAAATTATAGTAAACTCCCCCACCACACACACATTTACTGGGTACCTGTTATGCACAGGTGCATGTCAGCAGACTTTTTACACACACACATGTACATATTATTGTACTCAGGTTCTGTTAACTTCAGTTTATAGGTGAAGAAATTGTGGTACACTGCAACTTGACCAAAGGAGGTAACAAAGAATTCCATGTACATTCCAAACCTATCCTTTTTATTTAGAAGTACATTGTTCCTAAAAAAAAATTAATATCCTAGTTCATGAAATTGTTAACAAAAATCTGAAATCAAAGGGCAGAATGTACTCCCCTTTAAAGAGGTATTTCTCAAGCGACTGCCAAATACCCAAGACAATATTAAAAATAAGAAAGGAAAGAAAATTTCTTCCCAGTAATCATATGGTAAATGCTATCAATAGAGTTTCCATGAATTCCTAGCCATGGTGTTTCTTCATCAGTGCCTTATATTCTATTTACATTAGCCTAGTCTCAACCTAGCTTCTTACGATACACATCACTCTTTCCCTCTTGCTTTCCTTAACTTTTTACATACTAAAAAATGGTTCAGGTAAGATGCTTACTTATTGTTAGAAATAAAAGAAAGAATTAAAGGCTTAAAAATGTATTCCCATGCTATAACAAAAAAGTATGGTGAACTGGCAAGTTTACAGAGGTGGTACTCAAGCAAAAGCCTTAGATACCATCTTTAACTCATCCCTTTCCTTACATCCTTACCCCTTACATCCAATCAACAACCAGTTTCTATGACTTTTTTCTTCTAAAAGTATCAAAAGAAAACTTTGGTCACTATTTTCCATCCTCACTGGAACTTCCCTAATTCAGGCCATTACCACTTCTCTCCTGTCCCTCTGCAAGTCATTCCCCATGCTGGATCTACATAATCATCTAAGATGCAAGTTAGCATGCCATTCCTCTGTCTCTGGTTACCTATTCCTTTTCAGATAAAGTATAAATCCTTCATGGGGAGGAGTGAGGTCACCAAGTGGCAACACACGTGTTCCTGACTTTGCTCCTCCAGGCAAGAAGAACAACTAACAACCATTCAGGAACAAGACAGCATTGAGAGAATCCTACAACACGGAGACCCAGAAAGCCTGCAATGGAAGGGGAAGAGAAGTGGCTGCATGTTGACCACACTGTCCCTCCCCCAAGGCCATCCCAGCACCACCACACAGAGAGATCTCCTCTGAACCCCTGGCTCCTCCAGTAGGAAACACAAGCCAGGAGCAGACCACCAGCAGCATCCCTCCCTCACCCCAGCATTGTGGATCCGCTTTGTAGGAGTCCCTACTCTGATCTCACACTACAGGGAAACAGAGTTCATACCTGCTGTGTCCAAGTAGTAATTCAAACCAATGGTTTTGCTCACCTGCACAGCCAAGCCCGGGGCACATATACTCTGACCAGGGAACTGAGCAGGGTACAAAACTCCCTAATTTAGATCCTCAAATGAGGAGTTCTGCCAGCCCTAGAATTCAGCTGCCTATAAGAGACTCACTTTAGTCTCAAAGACTCACACAGACTGGGAATGAAAAGATGGGAAAATACATTGCAAGCCCCTGGTTGGCTCAGTCAGTTAAGCATCGGGACTCTTGATCTCAGCATTGTGAGTTCAAGCCCCACACTGGGCTCCACACTGGGTATGAAGCCTAATTAAAAAAAAAAAAAAAAAAAAAAAAAAAAAAAAAAAAAAAAAAAAAAAAAAAAAAAAAGTAAAAAGCAGGGTGACCACACAGGCAAAATAGACTTTAAACTAACAACAGTAAAAAGAAAAAAAAAGTCTTGGTATACTGAGAAAAGGGACAATACATCAAGAAGGTAAAACAACTGTAAATATTTACACATTCAACTTTGGAGCTCCTAAATGTATAAAGTAAATCCTGAATGTATAAAGCAAAAACTAACAGAGCAAAGGAGAAATAAACAGTAGTATGGTAATAGTTGGGGATGTCAATACCCCATTGTCAACAATGGATAGATCACCTAGACAGAAAAATCAATAAGGAATCAGTGGATATAAACAACACTATGGTCAAAATGGACCTAACAGGTATACACAGAACACTCTATCCAACAACAGCAGAATACACATCCTCTGAAGTGCACACAGAACACTTTCTACTATAGACCACATGTTAGGTCACAAAACATGTCTTAGCAAAATCAGTAAGACTAATAAAATCATACCAGGTACCTTCTCTGACCACAGTGTCATAAAACTAGAAATCAGTAACAAAAGGAAAACTGAAAACTTCACAAACATGAAAAAATTAAGCAACATTCTCCTGGACAACCAATGGGTCAGGGAACAAATTAAAGGGGAAATAAAGTTTATTGAGACAAACAAAAACAAACACAATACACCAGAACTTGCTGGATGTAGCAAAAACACTTCTAAAAGACAAGTTCATAGCAATAAATGCCTACCTTAAAAAGTAAGAAAGATCCCAAATTAACAACCTAAGTCTATATCTTAGTTATACTCTTAGTTAGACTAACTAAGGGAAAAAGAAAAAGGGTCTAAATTAACAAAATTATAAATGAAAAAGGAGATATTACAACTGATAGCACAGAAATTCAAATTATGGTAACAGCTTATTATGAAACTAATTGCCAACAAACTGGACCGCTAGAAGAAATGGAAACATTCTTAGACAACTTACCAAAACTAAATCAAGAAGAAACAGATGCTCTGGGGGCGCCTGGGTGGCGCAGTCGGTTAAGCGTCCGACTTCAGCCAGGTCACGATCTCGCGGTCCGTGAGTTCGAGCCCCGCGTCAGGCTCTGGGCTGATGGCTCAGAGCCTGGAGCCTGTTTCCGATTCTGTGTCTCCCTCTCTCTCTGCCCCTCCCCCATTCATGCTCTGTCTCTCTCTGTCCCAAAAATAAATAAATGTTGAAAAAAAAATTAAAAAAAAAAAAGAAACAGATGCTCTGAGTAGACCAATTACTAGTAAGGAGATTGAATCAGTAGTTAAAAATCTCTCAATGCAAGGGCGCCTGGGTGGCTCTGTCGGTTGAGCGTCCGACTCTTGATTTCAGCTCAGGTTATGATCTCACAGTTTGTGAGTTTGAGCCCTACATGGGGCTCTGTGCTAACAGTGCAGAGCCTCCTTGGGATTTCTCTCTCTCTCTCTCTCTCTCTCTCTCTGCTCCTACCCCTGCTTACATACTTTCTCTCAAAATAAATAGACAAGTTTAAAAAGATCCCTCAAAGGAGAAAAGCCCAAGACCAGAAATGTTAGATCTAATCAATAAATTCAGTGAAGTTGCAAGATACAAAATTAACATACAAAAATCAATAGTGTTTCTATACGATGAGAACGAATTTCCGATAAAACAATAAACAAATCAATGTCATTTACAATAACATCAAAAACAATAAAATACTTAGAAATAAATTTAACTTAAGGAGGTAAAAGATCTCTACTCTGAAAACTACAAGACACTGACAAAAAAAAAAAAAATTGAACAAAGATGCAAATAAGTGAGAAGGTAGCTTGTGTCTCCAAAAAAGACACCGAATAGCCAAAGAAATACTGAGAAAGAAGGACAAAGCCAGAGTTGTTACACTTCCTGATTTTGAGCTATACTATAAAGCCACAGTTATCAAAACAGATTCACATTAAAACAGACAAATACAACTAATGGAACAGAATCAAGAGCCTAGAAATAAACTCACACATAGACAGTCAACTAATATTTGACAAGGGAGCAAAGAACTCAATGGAGCAGGGACAATCTCTTCAATCAATGGTGCCAGGATAATTTGATATTCACATGTAAAAGAATGAAACTGGACCCATGTATAACATCACTCACCAAAATTAACTCAAAATGGATTAGACTTAAATGTAATACCTGAAACCATGAAAATATAGGAATAGAGAGTTCCTTGACACGGATCTCAGCAACAATTTTTTGGATAGGACACCAAAA